AGGGAATTATACTGTTTTAAGTTGTACCTATTTTACTGTTGTACACCACCTGGATTGGCTTGCCACAGGGCGGTATATAAATAAAATTTATTATTATTTATTATTATTAAAGTGGTGCCAACTGCATTAATTCTGCAATGTAGATTCAGCCTTAGTGACACTGTTATTGACTTTCAAAAGGGAGAGAAAGGGACTGCTATGCTGCTTCAGGCCTCTGCTCTAAGCCATCTCAGGAGTCTGTCAGTTTTGAAAGGGCAATGAGCATTTCTCAGGATATCAGACAGCATTTTAGTCTGTAGCGAAGAAACCACTAAGTAGAAGTCCCAGAAAGAGAAAAACTTATATTTTTAACACCTCTTCTTTTCACTGAGCCTACATTAACTGTCTTGCAGCTGCAGTGGCACACACAATGGCGAATCCACCAAACCAGATCTATGGGTTTTTTGTTTCTTCCGCAATCTCCTAATTTGTGTATCATCATTTTGGACAAAGACTTCTAGAGACTCCATTCTGGAGTTCTGGCTGGAGAACTCTTCTGAAGAATGGTACAATCTATATTTACCACTTCTGTCACACACCAGTGGCACACTCCCCAATTGTGGCAAGGAGAACCCTGGTTACTCCTCTGTCATCATAATTTCTCAGGTGCTTTTAAAGTGTCCCAGTTTCTCTCTCATCCTCCCAGTTTCTCCCCTCATCTTTGGCTTACTTGAACTGCTGCAAACTGAATTTAAAGAGCAAAATTAGTTTGTAATCAATAGGAAGGGGAGGAGAGGAAGGGTCTGTATCCTCTCCTAGCTTTGGAATGGAAGATATTGTGCTGTGTTACTCCAAATTACTTCCTGAGGTAAGTAAAATGAATAAGCACATCTTGTAGAAAGCAGGGAATGGGTGAGCACAGACAATTTAGAGGCATATACACTAATCGTCCTTGCATTTCCTCCCACCCTGAGGCCTTGCCTTTCAACAACAGAACAATACACAAATTTGTGAAGTCGTAGGCTTTCATGGCCAGCATCCATAGTTTTTTGTGGGTTTTTTGGGCTGTGTGGCCATGTTCTAGAAGAGTTTCTTTCTGACGTTTCGCCAGCATCTGTGGCTGGCATCTTCAGAGAATATTGGAATCGAAGAGAGTGGGTCTATATATACCAGCGGTAGGCAACCTTCGATTCCAGTATTCTCTGAAGATGCCAGCCACAGATGCTGGCGAAATGTCAGAAAGAAACTCTTCTAGAACATGGCCACACAGCCCGAAAAAACCACAAAAAACTAAAAATACACATATTAACATGTAAATCATTCCAACAGGGTCACACAGTATATATAACCCACACACCTCCATGGCACCATTCGCTGAAGATGCCAGCCACAGATGCAGGTGAAACGTCAGGGATAAATTCTTCTAGAACATAGCTGCATAGCTAGAAAAACCCACAAAAAACTATGGATGCCGGCCGTGAAAGCCTTCGACTTCATAAATTTAGAGGGGCTTTTCTTGAGAGGATTCCCTTTGAATTCCAGCATCCTGGGAACTGTGCACATGTGTTCTAGTTTCCATTAAATGTTGGAGGGTGAGTAGTGCTGGTCCTAATAAAAGTATTTACACATCACTGTTGTCAGTGTGAGCCTCTTCTATCATGTATATCTGTTTGGCAAATGCCTGCTCTGGGTTCTCAACTTAGGGCAGGTTTTGTTGTTGTTATGTGCCTTCAAGTTTTTTCTGACTTATGGCAACCCTAAGGCCATAAGTCATGGGGTTGTCTTGGCAAGGTGTTTTCAGAGGAGGTTTGCCATTGCGTTCCCCTAAGGCTGAGAACATGTGACTTGCCCAAGGTCACCCAGTGGCTTTTATGGCCAAACTGGGAACCGAATCCTAGTCTCCAGAGTCATAGTCCAACACTCAAACCACTGGGCAGGCATGTGCTGTTAAATGCACTTTGCCACCTGATGCAATGTCACTCTGTGATACTGTATGAAATTAGAAATGGCAGTTTCCAGTCCTTTTCCATTCCAGCTGTCTCCAGAAGGTGAGAGCTGCTACGTGCCAGAAAGGAAAGGAAAAGACCCATATGACTTTATCATTAACTAATTCCATCAGATGATGGTAGAAATTCCAAATATAGTAATTGGTTCGACTCAGGGCATAGTTCTAAATGGTCACCCTGCCTCAGAATACAGATCACTTGCTTGAAAGCATTCCTATGTAAAAATGTTCCTACGGATACAAAAAAATCTTCAGTGGATCTGGCATTTGCTTCCAGGAAGGAACTGGCAAAACCATCTCTTGAGTATTTCTTGCTGAAGAAAACCTTATGAAATCAAGAAAACTTGAAGTCGCACACACACACACACACACACACACACATCTTGTAACAAGGAATTATGGGAAAAAATATTATGAGAGTCCCTTTTAATAATTACACAGTTGGAATTTTCCCCCTCTATAGATAATGTGGGCAGAATATCCAAGTAAAACGCTTGTTTTTGAAAAATCACAACATAGATTTTTATTTTTGTTTTTTTGCTAATGTTCAGAGTTCCTTTTATTTATTTATTTTGCTACCTTTCTCTGTAGTTCCCACAAGGAAACCAATAACCCTTGCAATTTTAAAAACAACATCCAAAATGATAACAGACACATGGGCTACGGAATCACCCTCCACTACATAACTGTGCCATCTCAGGAGACCTTGGAAAAGTTACTTGTTTGATAACAACACCCAGGTTCCCCCAGGCTGGCTGGGGATTCTGGAACTTATTGTCCAAAAATATTATTCTCCTAGCTCTGTGCACTAGTACTGTATTGAAGTGAAAGACAGTTTCTAAACACTCCATCCTGTATCAGGAACTCACTGCTGCTTTCACATGATATGTTTACTTCTCTAATATAGGAACATTTTGACATAGGAATGCATCTGCATTCTGAGGCAGGGTGACCATTTAGACCCAGGTCCTGAGTCTAACTGATCACTATATTTGGAATTCTATCACCATCTGATGTAATTAGCTAGTGATAATATCATATGGGTCTTTTGCTTTCCTTTTTGGTATGTAGCCCCTCTCACTTTCTGGAGTCAGTTTCTAGAACGATTGCTTTGCAGACACCTATCTCTGACATGTCTGCTTTCTGCTTTTGGAGTCTACATTGTATAGGCTGGCATTCACGTTGTAATAGCTTGAATGTTGGGACAGGGATTTGTAGTTGCACTAGATGGCCTTTGGTCCCTTGTATCTCTTTGGGTGTGTGTCACTCTGAACAAATACATTTTGTAATGTCTGAGGAATGAGGCTTCCGGAGCTGCGATTTTGTGGGCATTTACTCATGAAAAGACCATTTCAATAGTAGCCCCCACTGTGAAATGCCCTCCCCTGACAGGGTTCTTGTCATATGCTTTATTTTTGTTTTAACAGTCTGCAAAGATTTTTAAAGCTTGCTATATACTTTACTGCCTAGGTGTAGCTTATAAAGATATCTGTTGTTGTTAAATGCCATCAAGTTCACCTTGACTTATGGCAATCCTATAAATAAGAGATCTCCAGGTTATCCTGTTATCAACAGCCCTGCTCAGGTCTAAAAGACTCAGGACTGTGCAGAAGTGTCAATGGGGAGATGCAGGGGGTGCAGTAAGCACTAGGTGACACCCTAAGGCAGGGGTAGGCAACCTTTCCCCTTTAAGGAATAGCTCCTGGGATTCTGGGAGCTGAAGTCCTTTGGCCCTTAAAGGGGAAAGGTTGCCTATCCCTGCCCTAAGGGATTGGATGACACCACTGAATCCTAGAATCCTAGAGTTGGAAGAGACCATGGACCTTATCACACGGGGTCTAAAGCAGACAGAACCCCATCCCATCCCCGTCCCATTGCGGTTTTTTCCCCCGTGTGTTCACATGACGTCGCACAGAACCCCGTCCCATCCCCGTCCCATCCCTGTCCCATTGCGGTTCCTTTTCCCGTGTGTTCACACGACGTCGCAGAGAACCCCGTCCCATCCCTGTCCCAATGCGGCATCATCCCTGTTCTTTTGAATGCCGGTTTCCTGGGGAATTACATTTGCGCAACCAGAATGATACCGGAATGATGCTGCTTTCGTTCATTGCGCAATGATGCTAGTTGCGTCTGATAGCAATTTCCATCTTGTGGGATCTATACCGGTATAGTTCTGGATTGATTCCATACCGCTTTCTTGCCGCTTTGAGATCCGCGTGTGATAACGTCCAAAAAGGGTCATCCAGTCTAACCCTCTTTGCCATGCAGGAATACACTGCTCCCCAAACTCCCTTTTGACACAAATGGGCTGTAGTGTTCACCTGCATCCCTTTAAAACACTAGTGTGAGTACGGCAAGGCTCAGTGGGAAGAGAAAGGAAAGGCCCTAGGTTGTTTTTTTTTTTTAATTCTAAAATTGAAATCTTTTAAAATTTTCTTTAAAAGCATAATATCTTACCAGATTTTTCACTGTAACTACATGAAACTATGGACTTTATCACACTGGGGGAAAAGACGGGAGTATAGTGGGATGCTCCCATCAATATTGCATGATTTTGCAAAGATTATCACACAGTGTCATGTGACTTCACAATTATCCTGTGATTATCCATTAATAAAGAGGAATTTAGCACTACTTTTTATTTACAGGATTTCCCATCATATGGTGGTAGAATTCTAAATATAGTGATTGATTAGACTCATGACCTGGGTCTAAATGTTGAACAAGGGACTCTTTCCCCCTGATTAATCCCTGATTAAAGGGTTTACCATATGAGATGAAGAATTACTCACCTCTCTGTGTCTGCAAGAGTCCCAGATTTGTACAAATATGCACACTAGTAAGAGGAGGCAAGCCCAAAACTGTGACACTGGAACCATAGCAGAGTGGTGGAGACTATACTTTACCTGTAGAAGGGCCCAGGTTAGACCCCTGGCATCTTTAGGGATAGGCCTGAGTTGGGGAAAATCCAAAAGCTTGATGAGACATCGCCAGTCAGTACAGAAAACACTGGAGAGTCAGTGTGGTGTAATGGTTTAAGTGTTGGACTATGACTCTGGTGACCAGGGTTTGATTCCCTGCTCAGACATGAAACCCATTGGGTGACCTTGGGCAAGTCACAGGCTCTCAGCCTCAGGGGAAGGCAATGGCAAAACTCCTCTGAACAAATCTTGCCAAGAAAACCCCATGATAGCTTCACCTTAAGGTCACCATAAGACAGAAATTACTTGAAGGCACATACCACCACACCACTATAGACAATAGTGAGATAGATGAACCAAAATTCAATCTACACTGCAGAAATAATGCAGTTTGACATTACTTTAACTGCTATGGCTTAATGCTATGGAATTCTGGGAATTGTACTTTTGTGTGATATTTAGCCTTCTTTGTCACAGAGCTCTGGTACCACAACAAACTATAAATCCTAGGATTCCATAGCATAGAGCCATTACAGTTAAAATGATGTAAAACTGAATTATTTCTGCAGTGCATACCAGGCAGCTTCTTCTGTTCAGTAACTCAAGGAGAGATACAGGACGTTTTCACACGCGGGGTCTCAAAGTGGCAAGAAAGCGTCATGGAATCAATCCAGGACTATACCGGTATAGACCCCATTGCTTCAGACAAGAAAGCAGCATCATTCCGGTATGATTCTGGTCGTGGCTGAAGGTAATTCCCAAATGAAAGCAGCATTGAAAAGAACGGGGATGATGCCGCAATGGGACGGGGATGGGACGGGATGGGGCGGGGTTTCTGCGACGTCGTGTGAACACATGGGAAAAGGATCCGCAATGGGACGGGGATGGGATGGGATGGGGTGGGGTTTTCTGCGACGTCATGTGAACACACGGGGGAAAAAACCGCGATGGGACGGGGATGGGACGGGGTTCTGTCTGCTTCAGACCCCATGTGAAAACGTCCACAGTGGTGATGAATCATTCTTTTGCATTTTTATGTATGGTTGAATGATCTAGTCACATCCAGGACAGGGGAGATATGGAAGAATTACCCAATTAAATCAAAGGAGGAGTGCTGAAAGAGCTGTTAATCATAGAGAAAGGTATACCTTCCAAGGTTTCACTGGTGAAAACCAGGATACATGAGTGGTCAAAGTGTGGTCAAGATGGCAAAAGTTCTAAATGAGGAAGAACAAAGAATCTAGGAGAATCTGCAACAGTTTGTTTTTGCCTAGGCTTACTGGGAATGGCAAGACTCTGCCACTCCTTTCCTCTACATCCATGCTAAGATAATTGAGTGCAACCGACTTTTGTACTTTGAATTCAGTTTGCAGTGATTGAAGTAAGCTGAGGACAATAATAATATCATAATAATATTTTTTATTTATATACCGCCCTGTGGCAAGCCAATCCAGGCAGTGAACAAGGCTAAAACAATATACAGCATAAAACAAAACCCTTCCCTCCTCCCCCCCCTTACAAAATAATTAAATCAAAGTCAATTTAATGGGGGGAAAGTGAGAGGATGAGAAACTGGGACATTTGAAAAACAACTGGAAAAGTGGTAAAGCAGACAAATCAGGACAGTTGAAAGATATGGAAATGCAGACAGTAGGCTGTTCTACAGATGGATACCATGGGTCTGTGTGCCCAGTGGCATCACTAGGGTTGATGTCACTCAGTGTGGTAATTTATGTGGCAACCCCATGGCTCTCCTGGGATTGGGGAGAGTCTCACGAAGGCAACCCAGCATCTTGCTGCCGCAATCCTCCCCAGTTGAGACAGCAAAGATGTGACACCTCACCACAAAGAAAAGATCTTCACCCTCAAGGAAATAGGAAGTCATAGCAAACAGTCCCTCCAGAGGACAATGGTGACCAAAATGATCAGGAGGGTAAGAGGAAGGAGGCGAGAGGAAGGAGCAAAGAGAAAGGTTTGCAGCTTCACCCCCATCCTCACCCCCCCAAGGGAAGCAGAATGCCAAGAAGCATCTTCCCCTTGCTTTCTGGTGAGGGGCCTTGGGACACCTCATTGCTGACTGCTGTCACTCCCTCTGATGGTGTCACCCGCTGCAGTCTGCACCTCCTGCCTTTCCATAATGATGCCACTGAGTGTGCCTTTCTTTTCTTAATTCATTTCTCTTAGGACACTAGCCTTTCTACTGCATTGAGAATTACTGCCCTATTGTGATGTGGGGGTGCGGGGGAAGGCTGTTATCTTTTCAAATTGCTCAGAGTGAATTGGAGGGGGGGGGGAAATCAAGAACAAGAACCAGCTACAGTTATCAACTACAGCAATTTGAAAAGATAACTTGCATTTCCTGAATATAGCTACAGTTCTGCACTCACGTAAACGGAGAGAAAGCCCTGTTTGGGCTTACCTCTGAGCAGACACGTATAGGATTACTCTGTAAGTCTAGTGAAAAATCTTTTTAGTACTGTGTGTTGTATCTAAATGTTTAGCTTATTTAAAAAGAAAAGAAAAGAAAAACCCTATGCAGTGTGACCTTGGAAGGGTGCAGATGGTTCATAAATTGTTATGTACTGGAGTCTAGCATTGAAATTGTGGACCTGCCAGCATTTGACATATTGTCTCCTTTCTTTGTCCACCCGAACCCCCACCCCCTTTTCTTTCCCTTCTTCCTTTGGGAAATGTACAGCCCTGCACTGACATGTACCGTTGATTAATAAGGGAGAGCTGCAAAATGCTCAGAAAGGCACTCTTTTTTGCTTGCAAAGGTAGCATTCGGCAAGGGAGATATGTTGTGTGTGTACATTTTTAATGCAAAGAAGGAAAGCTATTGATTGCACTGATCTACATCTAGCATGGTTACAACCATCAGCAACTAAACAGATAATTTGAAACAGCAAGCAGATATGCAGGATGAACAACCTTGCCAGCACCTGGACAATTGCAATATTAAGGATAGTGGTTAAGATCCTGTTTATTTTATTTATTGATTAAAATTTCCATTCCACCGTCTGTCCTTAAAACTCAGAGAAGCACACAATTTAAACAATATAAATGATTTAAAACAATTCAAAATTTAAGAACAATAAAATAATTTAAATAGGATAAAAGCATATTAAACAGATCACCAAGTTAAAATGGCAGAAGAGCTAAGACACAACTGTGTGTGTGTGTGTCTGTGTGTGAGCACTTTCAAGTAGCCTGTTGACTTATGGCAACCCCATGGATTTCACAGAGGTTTTTTCTTAGGCAAGGAACTCTCAGAGATAGTTTTGCCAATTCCTTCCTCTGAAATAGAGCCTCCAGCACCTGGTATTCGTTGGCAGTCTCCTATCCAAGTACTAACCAGGGATGATAAAAAGAAAATATTAGTTCCCAGAAAAACACATGTTTTAACTTAGCATTTAAAAGAAATCAATATTGGCAATAATCCAAAGGGAGGGGGCATTCCATAAATGGGGCTACAGCAGAGAAGGCCATCTTTATGAACCCAGAATTAAACCCCACCCATCAACTGCTAATACTATGTGAGTGCCACAGTGTAATGGGACATGAGTGACACTAACTGCCCTCTTCTCCCACACACTCACATCTGATCACTCTGCTTGCCTATTTCTCTTGAAGCTGTTGGCTCAGCATCTCTGGTGTCACAATGGGCATGTGCAGTTCATGGAGTATTTGCTCATTTCCTGCCACCCTAGATCTTATGCTGGAATGTGTGATGGCTATTGGCGTATCTGCTGTGAGATCACAGAGGGTTCTGTACATTTTAGGCAGCTGATTTGCAAAACTTATAAGCAATGGAGATGCGCATCTGTGTTCTGTGGGCAACTCCGAGCTAAACAAAACAGCACTGGAGTATTCTTGCATGAAAGCATTTCAAAGTATGAATAAGCAAGGACCAGCCTTATTGTGAAGGAAGGTGGGGACATCTCCTATTGCCAGCTTCCATCCCTGAGTGCTATTAATGGGGGGGGGGGGGGGGGGGGGGGGGGGGGGAGGGAGTGGAATTTTGAATTTTCCTTTCATTTATGGAAACATCTCCACTTCGCTTTCCTTGAGGATACGGATTGACTGAGCAACATACTGGAAACAAGGGAAATAATCCTTTCAGTTTATAAGAATAGCAAGTCCTTGGTCATCCATGCCTTACCAACCTCCAGATTGAACTAAATTAATTAGCTGTCCTGATAGTCTCTGGAATCCTCAGTTGCTCCAAGATTGTTGCCACCAGACTATTGACTGGAATGTATAATATTAATACTGTAGTTCATCCTTTGTCTTGGTTGCCTACTCATTCCCAAGCTGAATTTAAACCTGTGTGATGCAGTTTTTCAAGCGTCAGGCTAGATCTACAGGGGCAAAATGTGGTCATTGCCAGCCCCAGATAATAATTCTGACCCTCCCATTAACTTTTTCTTTAGCTTCCATATGTTTAACATTGTGGTAACTTTAATTTTCAGTTAAGCATTTAGAAATGCAGGTTTGGCATCCAAAGAAAAGGAGCAGGCAAGGTAACCAAGAAAGAGAGCACAGCCAACATTAGTTTGAGGTGTGAACAATTTTCAGTGTCTCAGGGGTTATTCAGACAGTGAAAATAGTTCAGGTAGAATCTGGTTTGAATCTTTGTTGTTCACATGCATTTTGAATGCATTCAATTAGGGTTTTTTTGGGGGGGTGTAGGCTGCCTAAAAAGCCCACTTTACCCAGGATAGCAATAGTAATAGCATTTACATTTCTATACTGAACAGTGAACTCAGCATTCTCTAAGCAGTTTATAATCTGTAAACCAATTGGCCCCAACAAATTGGGTACTCATTTTAGTGCCCTACAAAAGGATTGAAGGCTGAGTGAACCCTGGAGCCCTCTGGGATCAAATTCACAATGTTGTGCCTGTAGTACTGGCATTTAACAACTGCGCCACCATAATCGATGTCGGATTTTTTCCTGAGTTTTTCTAAAAGATTTGGATTTTCAGATGTGTGAAT